AGGCTTTTGCCTATGAGGGTCTCAGCCTCTCTGTGGGTGTGTTTCCATGTCAATAAAACAAGGACTATCCTTCCGTACTTCTCTGGGTTGCTATGATGCTCAGTTAAATAATGTTGAGATCCTAGGATGGGAACAATAACAGATGTACACAAACTGTTACTGCCCTCCTGCCTAGTCAAACTACACCACAGGCATTTCCGATGCTGCCTTTGGGTAGCACAATACATGTGCTCCACACGCCAAGCCAATAAGCAAACCCAGGACTCAGAGCTTGTTAGTGCATACCCAGAGCTGCTCTGAAGTGGCTGCATCACATCCGTTCTGGAATTAGCACTCAAGTTTAGCGCTACAAAAAAGATTGCTTTGGGTTGTGCACATGTGCATCGTCCCCTGTCTGGCACATAGCAAAGTTGCCACAGGGAGACACACTGCAGCCAGGGTGGTGATAGAGGGCTGCTTCTTTGCTCCTCGGCCCTCGAGGGAACCCTATCAACAGATGGGACAGGGTTATTGAGGGGCCTGTTTCATCTGTTGTTGCTGCTGTGGCAACAGCTGATGGTGTTGCCTGATCAGGTAGTCTCCGCCTGATCAACCTCTGCCCACAGGGCTACCTGAAAGCCAGCCAGGGGCAAGAGATTATCAGGCAGCAGAGACTAATCAGCCCTTCATGCTGCTGCTGCTGCAGCCCTTTCTCCATTTCTGCTTGGTGACAGCAGTGAGAGGGCTGCCTTTCTGTTACCCGGTGTGGCAAGGACCGATCAGTCCTTGCCAGCGATGTCACCCCAACTTCTGACACCATTGCTACAGCACCAGCACAATTCACATTTCAAGTCCCTGGCACTTTAAAGCTGTTCCTTGGGCTGTTGTCAGTCCTTTAGCAGCTGTGTGACAGCAGGGCGTGCACAGGGCAGTTTTAAGGCTGACTGAGATAAGGATGTGGAGTTTTCACAAAGAGATGATGAGTCCTGAACATGCATCAGGTAGATACCCTCTTCAGTCACTTAATCAACCAATATTTTTGCATGGTAGGTCCAAAAGCTCAAATGACGTCAGCAAAAGAATTTGAGAGCCAGGTAAATGTGTCTGAAACATGTGAGAGGAAAGAGTTTCTTAGTGTGATATCTTTTATTGGAGAACTCATCACCTGTCCAGAGGTGCAGAGAATACAGCGATGACAGCAGTCCATATAAAATCAGTCCTGAACAGGTGATGATACTTTTAGATCCTAAGTCTCTGGTTACTCCCTAACCTTATGTTCTTCCTGATTATCAATCAGTTTTTTTGAGATGTTCCAAACCAGTTAACTCCTTGTCAATAGAAAAGACAATGATTTACACTATTGAGAATGCTTTGAAGAAGTTGAACTGAGGGTATAAAAATCTGTAAAAAAGCAGCAGTGTGTGTGTGTGCTTCAAGAAGAAAAGTCTCTCTGATACCATCCACTGTTGAGAAGCTGGAAGAAACAGATAGTCTCCCTTCAAGGATTGTGCTAAGAACTTTACCTGTCAGCATTACAACCCGAGTGCCTTGGACTGGTGAGATCCCAGCGTGCTCTCTCTCTCTTTTCTCTCTAGGCATAAATTTCTGAACCTGAACTGTATTAGTTAAGCTTGAGCTAAG